AAAAAAAAAAAAAAACCCAGAAAATATATCAATTCTTCGAATGAGAAAAAAGAAACCCAGATGCGCATTACAGATAAAAATTCAAGTAGAGCTTGGTTGGAACTTACAGAGATATGTATGATTGAGCGGCGGCAAATTGAGGGGCGGATGAAGGGTTAATAAGGGAAGATAATTTTGAGGGCGAGCGAGGACAGTTGTGAGATTCTTGGAGGAGATTTCGTGTGATGGGGAAATGGCAGAAGATTCGTTGAAAAGGAAAAAGAAAACGACCAACAGTAATGGTGGGCTACCTACAGAGCTGGGGCTGCACAATCCTGTGGTGTACTTAGATGCAGGAGAATATCTTATAATTAAATAAAATTGTTTAATATATATCCTTTTTTTTTTTTTTTTTACTGTTACGTAATGCACGGACTGTATTTATTTTTAGGAAGTATTATAATTCAAAATGTATTAATAAATAAAATAGTGATATTATGTCTGTAAATTGTCAAATCATAAAATATTCATAATGAAAAAATAATATATTATTAAGAACCTCATTGTACACTATTATTCGTTTGATTATTTGACATTTCGTTGTCACCAAAAACTAATATTTTAAACTCATTTCTATTACTTACATGCGAAATAACAACATATAATAGACGTGACTAAAAATCAATTTATTTAAGAAAAAGTCAACGTACGATAAAAACTGCGCTGCCTTGTATTTATTGTAAAGGCATTCAAAACTTTAAGTAAGATTCGATGTCGTTGGAACTTAAATGGAACTCCAAGATCAGAATGATCTACTTATAATATGATAATTTACCTGACAGTTCGACAAATGAACTGTTAGTTAATCATTTTAATATCGATTATACTTAATTAGCTAAATAATATTTATTATTATTTTATAGTTTTATAATTTATATAAAATAACATTATACATTTATGTTACAATATTAGAAACACTACACTCAACCGTAGACTACACTCAATCATAGAGTGAAATCCACCAGTTTTAAATTTTTATAGTTCGATCACAAGTTGTTCACTGATAAGAGTGTAAACGAGCCGTCGAGCTCGAACCCTTAACAAATTAGTAATCAAGCTCGAGCTCGACTCGTTTATCAATATTAAAGAGGCAAACTCGAACTTTAACGAGACGAACTATAGTAAATTATAAAAACAATCTTCTTTTCAACCTTTATTGAGCAGAGTCGACCTCAACTCATCAACCATAGGAACTTTAAATGAGCTCGTGGTCAGCTTGTTTATCATGAGTCAAGTCAATTTCGAGCCTTAACGAGTTAAACCGAGGATAACTTATGAGTGACTCGTTTCGTTTAGCTCGATAAGATGGCAACCTATCTCTTTACTCATTGCTTATTAGTTATTACTCTATTTTCTTGCCACATTTTGTGGTTTTGTGGGTCCA